ATGCATGAATTCGTATATTGTGTGGCAGGCACAATGATACTCTATGCCCAGGCAAGTCGAGAAAATTTCCGAGCCGAAAGATTCCCTCGAGGCACCGGCTCATAAGCTCAAAAGCTGATACGTCCCTTCGAAAAATTAATCGATATTTTTTTAAATTTGATGAAATTTTTGAGCCTTTTGAAGTATTTTATTTTATAGGGTGATGCGTAGTATGACGATGCAATTTTTTCAGCGGCAAAGATGATGCTCAATCCTTTGTTATTACGATACCGCGGATTTGTTATCAGACTTCTCATGGCGCGGATTTGCATATCAGATTAAGTCAAATCTCTCGTCAACCCTGTGCTTCGTTTCACTGTAGCTACCCGCGACCGGGGAAACGATTCTCGAAGCATGCTGAATGCTGGTCAGTTTTCACAGTTATCGAAAGTGCCACTCCAGTTGATGAGGTATTCATTTAGGGTGACTTCAATCTGTCAGGCGTTTCGTGAAGTCCATCTCATAGCGGTTTCCTGTATCCAAATCCTGATAGCTCTTCATTTCACGGAGGAGCTATTAGTCTTCTCGGCAACTACAGCGCAGCAACGCTTTCTCAAATTAACCATGTAGTTAAGGAAAATAATCGTAGTTTGGACCTCTGCTTCGTGAGCACTCAGGACAGGGCTCCATTAATTTCATCGGCACCTTGTGCACTAACTAAGCTAGTTCCGCATCACCCTCCTCTAAATGTCACTATGAGGACAAACTGGTGTGTGTGTGTGTGTGTGTCATCCTCTATCCCTCACCCAGCCGGGGGCGTTGGACAAGTAGAACTGCGAATAATTTGATCAAATCTCATGCTCCGTAATGGTGCCCTTTATGTTGTGAAGACTAGTACTTCAAAAAGGGTAACTTTTGAGGCAAGACATGGTATCCTCAACAAGTTAAGGGAACAGGATGCACTAAATGTCCACAACAGGTACAGCAAAACATCACATAGACGCCCTTATTCACACTAACTACTCAGGGGGTAGAAGGTCAAGAAGAGCCACCGCCGCCAACTAAAGCTTGAACCGGGTACCTGGGACTCCCACGATATACCCGCGGCAATGGTCAGCAGACGATGCCCTGTGCGTATTTAGTATGTAATATGTTTTATTTGGATACACAAAATGTTTGAAGCCATGCGTCATCTAAACCATAATTTGCATCACCACAAATACACTTGTCAACAATCTTCAACTGGAACGTACTCACCAAATCACTTCACCCGGGAGCGCATTCCCGATGCTTCCACGCATTTTTTTTCCCTCCACTCCAACCACACAACAACCAAATATCACTTTTCGTCACTTTTCTTTTTCAAGTCACTCCGTGTACAAAAGCAATGCACATCGCAAAACCCTGACAATAGATCAGCGCACTTTCATCACCGCGTATAAACAGAAATTAAAATTTTCACTCGCGGTGCCACAAATTTCTTGTCCGGGAGAAACAATCAAACCGCGCCAATTTTGCAAACATGATGAATCATGTTTTCTTTCTCGATTCTAAAACTTCTCGGAAAGCGAGAAACCAACACTCACACACGTATAACCGTCCGGGAGGCAGAGTGCCAGCGCTAATCCGGCAAATGCAGCCGAAAACTATGAAAGCGAATGCACGCACAAAACAGAGAACGAACTTTACACACAACCGTATCCAAAGGCGTTAGAAACTCGACATGTCACTATGAGGACAAACTGGTGCGTGATTTCGACGATTATCCTGCTGCTAGATGTATTGTCCAGCATGGTATGGGAGAACATCCTTGATCCTGATGACGTTGAGGCTGCAGCGTAAACCTTTTAAAATGTCTTGGCAGATGTCATTGTCACCCTCCCTGGCAGACGAGAGAGCTACGTTGGTTGAAGTCAATCAAGAGAGCAGCATTGAGAAGATCTACGAAGTATCGCACGCTTCCTCTGAAACTTCATTATTTGAGGCTGAATCACATGTACCAGCGAGTCAGTCGTGAATGAATCTCAAGTTTCCAACGCTAACTTAAGCTACACCCGAAATCCATTTGATGTTAACACTGAGATGATTTCCAAGGCCGCGACTTTGCCAAGTCATCCTTGAATCCTGGACCTGATGGATTTCCATCTGTATTTTTGAAGAGACATATTGCTAGCTTGTTAATTCCGCTTCATCGTCTATTCTGGAAATTTTCGCACATGTTTCCGGACACAAAAAGGGAAGGAAACGAACTGTGGATAACTATCGAGAAATTACATCGTTAAGGAGATTCCTTGTAGAGTCCACAAATAGGCTATAAATGCACTTTCACCTTCAATTTTCAATTACACAAATATCGGAGCTCCATTTCACCTGAAATTGCTACCGCAGCAAACGTGGAGTAACAAGTGGTAGCAAGAATAAGGATCTCACAGCGAATCACCTTAAGTGCCGTTTCGAAGCTATTCCAGCCAGGAACCGTTGCTGTCCCATTGGGGTTTACTGTCTGTCGCTCTACAACCACCAATCTGCTGTGTCTCACATCGTATATAACCGAAAGACTGTTGGATCGGGTTCAAACAAACGTTATTTATTCAGACCTATCCGCAGCATTCGACAAGTTGAACGGTTGAACCATGCTATTGCGATTGCTAAACTCGGTAGGTTCGTTGTATGCGTGTACCTTACTGGTCGCCAACTAATGGTTACCATAGGAGATTGTAGATCAGCTAGCTTCTTCGCTACATCAAGTAAGGGAAGAAGGGGCATAGTGAGCATCCCGTACTTTGTCTCTGGATCTCCAGTTGCATGAAACAAATCAACTGGTAGTAGGTTCAATATCATTATGATATTGATCCTACCACCAACCAATTTGTTCCGAACGGCCGGAAGTCCAAGCTGGTGCACGGGATGCTCACTATTCCCCACTTGTTCTCTATGCCCTCTTACCCCTATACCTCAGGGAAGTCATCTGGTATCGTTGATTTTTCTACTGTACGAAGTGCATCATATGCAGATGACCTCACCACCTCCTACGAATCCGCTCGGTTGCTGACTGTCATTCAACGTCAGCTGAATGTATTCGCTAGTTGGTGCAGTTTAAACAGAATAGCAGTGAACCCAGTCAAATGGTCCGCTGTTGCGTTCTCACGTAAACAACAACCCCGATAATATTTAGCTATGACCTGCTTGGCTCGACAATCGAACGCGTGTATCAGGTTGAAGACTTGGATGTGATCTTGGATTAGTAGCTATCATTCAAGCAACACATTGCATATGTTGTCGATAAGGCGTCTAGAACTTAAGGGTTCATTTTCAGGGTAGTTAAAAACTTCCCCAACGTTAAACTTAGTGTCTAAAATCTCTCTATACTTCGATTGTTCGATCGACGCTTGAGTATTGTTCAGCAGTTTGGAACCCAAACTACTATAAAATGGTTCCGAGAGAATCGAATCTCGGCTCACATTGCGAATCTTGAAACGAAAAACTTTTTTTCCGCTTCCGTATAACCGCAACTATCGCAACCACAGCCGCTGCTTTCATTTCGAAGACATCCGGAAATCAAGGGATCTTCCTCCTCCAGACACCCCCGCACGGCTACCAACGAAGATCTCCCCCCAGTAGCCAGGGTCCACTGGCATGCATAAAAATGCTGGCAAACACCATTACCGAAAATCGAAAGCCGGATTAAGGACAGGTTCAAAGCCGGAGACAATTCCGTGGCCATGAAAGGACTGTAGGTGAAATGTTAGGAGAAAATACCCCACGCACACTCACCGATACACGGACGGATCTCGCTCTCGGGCCGGGGTCGGTATCGGTTTAGCCGGAAACATCACACCAACCAGCTGCAGCTTACCACCGCAATGTTCTGTCTTCTCTACTGAAGCTGCTGCCATCTTCATCGCTGCTACAACGCTCTCCGACCGACTGATCCTGGTCCTCACGGATTCGCACAGCGTCCTACAAGCCCTGACATCCGAGGACCCGACTCATCCCTGGGTACAGGCGACGATGAAGTCCGCGCCACCAAACATGGTATTTTGCTGGGTTCCGGGGCACTGCGGAATACCAGGCAACTCTGAAGCTGATTTTCTAGCTGGGGCAGGACCATCTGCTCCTTGCTATACCAACGAAGTACCGTTGCACAATGTCAAGCGCTGGATCGTGAGCAAAGTACGGGAAGCTTGGGACGCAGAGTGGGCCCAAAACCGCTCCCTCTTCATCAGACGGGTCAAAGGGACGACGAGGGAATGGACAGAACAGTTGAACCAGCGGGATCAGAAGATAGTGTCGCGTTTGAGGACCGATCACACCAAGATCTCGCACAATTTCGGTGGAACGCCGTTCCACAGAACATGCGTCGGTTGTAGAACTCCAGCCTCAATCGAGCACATTCTATGCGTACCTGCGGGAATTCCACGGGCTTCCAAATAGCATACGCGACATGCTGGGTGATGATCCCTCCACACTGGCAGCAGCAATGCGCTTTTTAAAGATGCTGCATTGTATTTTAAAGTTTAGTCTTTTTTAATTCCTTTCGGCTGTTGGGACATCTCTGCCTGGTGGGTGCCCTCCCGGTGTGGAGCTCTGTCTTATTCAGATTATAATGTTGTGTCTTTAATATGTTGTGTAAATGTACGATCGAGCCAGGAACCAATTTTCGGTTGAAGTAAACACTGTTAAAAACTACTCTGTTGGGGTCCTCCTTCTGAGGCCCCACCTTTCATGGACTAACCTACGGCTAAAAATCTCAAAAATAAAGTTTAAAAAAAAAAGGTGAGCCGAAAGCAGTCGAACTCCGAGAGTAATTTCAGAGGATCGCCCGATGCGGGTTTCGCGTTCGCTGACGGTGGTCTGGTTGGCTGTATTCCTAACTACTCCACGTTTCGGTGATGTCCGAAGCATAATCGTACTTTAGTGTAGAATTGCCTTTAAATATTAAATTAAATATTAAAAAAAACTTTACTGACCTGCGTTGAACTTTTAAAATGCTGCAACACTAATATCCCCCCCATTTACAGCTACAACAGACGTGGCGGTTACTACAACCGTGGTCCGCACAACTACCGCAACAACCAATACCGTGGCGGTAACAACTACCGGGGACGCAGCAGCGGCAATCGTCTCAACCAACCCAACGGTCTTCCTCACAACACCAGTCGCCTCAACACCAACCAGCAGCAGCAGCAACAATCGCAGCAACAGCACCAATCGCAGCAACAGCACCAGCAGCAGACGCAAGCGCAATCCCAACAGCAGCAACCAGCCGCCATAGAGGTTGCAGCGGGTATGTTGTCGCATTCAGTGGGCTAATTTCTACAGTATAATTCACAAACACTTGTTTCCCCTCTCTCTCTCAAACACAGGCAAATAATGCTACAAAACAACTAAGGATGTACTTTTACTTTTAAAAAGCTGACCAGAGTTCCGTAAAAGCTTATCACCAAATAGAAGCAGATCAAGTAACAGAAATTTCAGAGCATGAAGAGACCCTGTTGAGAAGCAACACAACCAGCTAAACTCCCCGTGTAAACGTAGTTGGCATCCTCCTGTAAGATTCGGAAACCTTCGATGGCCGCTTCCTCGCCGCCGAGAGACCCTCCATCTTCATCAACTGACAGAAAAGGACAAACTGTGTGAATCGTTACGGATTCGAGAGAAGGCGTACGGCATTGCTCACCTAGGGTTAAAGAATAAGCATTCGCAGCGCCACTCGCTGCAATGGAAGCGATGGAGAGTGCTCGAATCTAGAAACCGTATTTGCCCCTCGTCGCCGCCGCCCACCAATCTTCGGAGCATCAGGGAAAACAAAAAACGAGGACAACGTCGAACGTGTGTCCCCACCCCCCAAACTTCCCTTTCCCACGGATGATGCCGCCCGAAGACCGCGCTCGGCTGTGGACAGTGGGAAATACGCACATAGCTACTTGAAACAAAATTGAATACGAAATTGGAATCGCCTTCTTTCCCTTCGATTCAGGCGCCCACCGTGTGTAAATGTGTTTACGTGTTGAGACGAGATTTGATTTTCTATTGCTGGCAACAGAAAATATTGTCATCGTCGTCGTCGTCATCAAATGGAAGATGAAGTTCCTTTCTACGGCAGGAGAGGGAAAGACAAGCGGCGAGTTCGAGAGTCGACAGAAGGAATCAGCAGCCAAGTGAAATCGTGTGTATGTGTACAGAGTAGTAGTAGGTCATCACCGGAAGAGGACGGATGACGGAGAAGCTTAATAGGTAAATTTTGAAAATTGTGGAAATCTATTATACTAAAAGAAGGGGAGCTAGCGCAAAAACAGGAGCGGAACCAATATGCAAAGAGGAACTTTGTAGAATTTGAAGTAGAAGAGAGGTGAATGGGCAATTTTTTTTTGCGCAAAGAATGGATATAATCTTTAAGCTAATATTGAAAAGGTGGATGCTACAAACTAATATAACACTCCCTTCAGCCGTAGAGGCGATCAAAAAGTGTGAAGAAGAAATGACAAATTGAATGATGCAAGGAGCAAGAATTTAGGAATTAGAAGAAACATCGATAGATTTTTGGATAGAAACGAAGTTCCGAGAAATGAGATGAGAGATGAATTAGATAATTTCAGCGAGAGCCTGAGAGCAGAATGCCGCCGGATTACAGTTTATAATTATTCAAGCCAATATACAAACGTTATTGAAATTGTTATTCAACTACTGTGTGTGATAGAGTACTTAGGGAGACGGAAAGGAGAAGACGAATGCGCGGTGTGGAGATTTTTCATTAATGTTTAGCAATTTCCTCACTTACTAGTTTTTTTTGCCTTATTATTTTCACTTTTAATTTTAGTTTTTTTTTAATCTAACCAAAAATGCATGTTTTTTCCTTGAAGCGCGAGGAAACTTTTGTGCGGTTGTACCTAGTTTTCTTTATTTTCCTTCCTACGACTGATAGTTTGAATTAAGTAGTTTTGTTTCCGGTCTCCGGCGGGGGAGGGAGCGGGCTCTCGCGACAAGTCCACTCTTAAACTATAGAATGTTATTTCAACAGGTATACCCGTAATCTCGCATAGCATTTCGGCGGAGAGAAGATTGTAAAACCGATTTTTTTTTGGAAGAGAGGATTGATTATGATGAGAGTGGAAAATATGTAATATGTATGATTACGATAATAATATTGAATAATTATTAATATTAATATATTGAAAATGGAAGTGGAAACAAGTGGATTATATGAGGAGGAATCATTTCGGAAGAAATGCGTCACGCTGAAAGGAGAAGGGGGTCTAGGGGAACTGTTGTTTGGTAAGGTGAAAGGGCTGTCGTCTGTTGCTCTGGTAGCTGTGTTGTAGATCTTTATGAATACTTCATGCTTTTCTTGTGTTAATTGCAAGTAAATGTTACTGGATTGTGTAGTAATGGTTAAGTGAATTGGTGATAGACTGGATGCATGTTTCGATGTTTTATTTGTTTCATAAAATGAATGAGAGCAATGCATTCTTGAAAAAAAAAAACTGTTCTTTTTAACTCAGGCAGTCGAACAAACAATAGAATTAACTAATTTACATTAATTACTGATGGTCTCGTAGTTAACATACGTTCAACATAGGACCACCAGGCTTGCTGGAGGTTTTAAAACACTCTTGTCCTGCGAGCTCAGTCAGCCCTCAACTCGAGTGAGTGGCGGCAGGAATATGGAAGAAGTAAACAAAAGTTTCCCGAGACGGAGGGAGAGTGAACTTCAGCGAGAGGATAATTTGACGTGAGGTGTGCTTTTCGAGACTCCGGATGACTTTGTTCGACGCAAGAAGTTCAGAGTTCACCCAGAGTGAGAGTAAAGCAAACCCCACACGCATCAATATATTGACGCGAAGGGGAATTATTGACAATAATATTGATGAGGTGAATTCAGAAATATTGTCAATCTCGATATATTGACGTCAATATAGCATGTATTGACAATTGGAGGCGAACCAGCCCAAGGCTGAAAGCCTCATTAATAAAGTTAAATAATAATAATGTATTGACAATACGATTATTGTCAATAAAAGCAATCGTGTAGGGTTCACTTAAGAGCGTGTGATAGAAAACATGAACATGAATCAATCTGAACATTGCATTAGGGGTCCTAAGTAACATTGATCGATTCTCTTCGTCGACTTTCTCTTTCGTTAATAACATGAGCACATAACCGTTTCTTGATGTGTTTGTCATATTAGATGCTAGATAAAAGCTTCTTTTATCGATCTGTGTGCTGAAAATACCTGGGAATGTCTACATGGCCGTGGAGATACAAAGAGAAAGTCGACGAAGAGAATCTGTCAATGTTACTTAGGACCTAATGCAATGTTCAGCTTGGAATGGCAGCAAACCTCACTCTCATTTTATGACCCTTCGCTCACAAGCTCTGAAGCTCAGTGGAATGATTTGGCAGTAGACATTCTACTTCTCAGAAAAATGCTACGCTCGGCTCATTTCAAACTCGCGAGCGAGGCTCCATCAAGCCTGAGGACCACCATTGTCGTTCGTCAATTGAAGATTGTGAGCACATTGAATAATCCATTTCCATATTCTGTAATTTAATTTTTAATTTATTTGCGCTCGAAACCTTGAATCCCAAGTCACCATTTTTTTTATAAACATTGAGCTGTCCATAATTATGATGCACTGTTCAAATTATAAGGTATGCGAATAAAACGTTTTTATTGCATGAAGTGTGGTAATTTTGCCTCAATCCGCGTCTACGAAGCTCATGTAATTCTTAACTCCTGTGGGAACTTCCCATAAGCAACTGTCGGTCTCTGCATGAAACATGTCGGATTGTTCCTTATTCGGCCACTCCACCGAAAAATCACATGTCCTGTGCATGAAGACGCTAATATCAAAATACTTCATGGAAGCGTACAGTAACTTCACGGAGCCACAATCAGGTGATCAGGATGCCGTTGCAAAATGATGTTTCTATGTCAGCAAGGTTGAACAATGCTGCTCCTTTTTGTCTGTAGGAAGCTCACCTCTGGTCACCATTTGACGAACTAACTTAAGCATGTCATGAAGATCTACCCATTAATCTCAGTAGGTTCATAGAGGTAGCAGTCACACCATACCAAATGAAGGAACTTAGACCGTACGAAACCCACATCGGAGATGAATAAATCTTGGAGGGAGAGATCCGCCACCCACACAAACACGTACATGAACAGAACTAGCTAAATCATAAACAAAAGAAAGAGCAACCAACTGGGCATCGACTAAAAACATAACAATTAGGGAAAATCCAGTCGATCGAGAAACCTTTATATATAAAACTATTAGTTTACACAACTAGCTCTAACTCGTTTTTTTTTTTATTATTTCATAAGAAACTGTGGAACTTAAATGGGAACGGAGGCATACCTATAAAGCTGGCTAAAACTCCCGGATCGCTGCGGGTGCCTAACTGCCTGCTCAGTTGCGATCGCCGGGATGATTCAATGAATTAATGGGAACGACATAAAGCTAAGGATCCAGTCAATGGAAGAAGAAGGCCAAAAGAAAACGAGTAATGATTAATTTTTTTTTTTGCTGAGTTAGAGAACGAAGGGAAACCGGATCCGACCGATCGGAGATACCTATTAACTAAATATATAAGAAATTTATAATAAAGAAGAGAGAAGGCGATCATATAGGCGAGAGAAGTCATTTATACCGATAACAATCGATGATGCAGCAGCGCGCGAGAGAGAGCGAGTGTGGATTATGGAGAAACGCTTAGGAGAAGCTAGAATGTCACACAATCAGGTGTCGTGGTGAGAATGGATCGAACAATGGAAATTATTTTAACAAAAAAACGCATACACACAAGCGTACATTCACAAAACACAAACACACACGAGTCCATACATACATAATAACAGACAGAAGGAATAATTAAAAAAACGGAAGAACGACAGCACTAATAAATAATAGAAGAAATTGAAACCGTGATGTAAAATGTACAATATTAAAAAAAACTGATATTAACCTGTAAGCTGAAGTTAATAAGAGACGAAGTGATTTCCTCAATATTTAGCAAAACAGAAAACAAATCGTCACATTTGAAATACGAAAGAATCAGCATATAAAGTAAACAAAGCCAAATTCGGTCCAATAGGTGCGCGCAGCGAAACCGGAAACAGATATAGCTGTAATTTTTAGCATTTGAGAAAGAGAGAGAGAGAGAGAAGTACGGATGCAAGAAAAAACAAGTCTCTGTTCCATTTGACAATTTGCCTGCCGCGGCGGCGAATTGCGCGGGTAGCTCTTAACATGTCGTGGTTCCACTTTGGGACCAAGCAATACTGTGTGCGAATCGACACATTCGCGTTTTATCTACCAGGCTACCCCAGACAACTAATACAATGTAATGTTTCGGTGAGTTCAAAACACAAAATCCCATTCATTCGCTTCCTGTTGCATTGGATCTATAAACAGCAATCCCCCCTCACCTTACCGGAGAAGAACAGCGGAATTTCTCCTTTTTCATGAGGGGCGAAGGGAATGTTTAGTAGGATCCCTGCACGTGGAAATTCATTTATTAAACCTAACAATAGTATACTCTATTTAACACCGAACCCTAAGTAGCGCACAATGACAATGCTCCATTATCATAATTATGGTTAGTATTTTTTTTTAATCCTAAAAGTCGCTTAAACCGGAAAAATGGTGCTAGTCAAGACCTGCAGTCAAAGATCCTACTTGACTTTTTGACAATTGTTTTGGTTTTCTCATGGTCATACGAAGGTCTTAGCGACGACGACATGCAACATTCATCACTCAAACAGGAGTGCATCGTCATTGTTCGCTACTGGTAGGCAGTTCTATCTCAGAATAAAAAATTCGACGCTAAATTGTTTTCTGTAACTTTTCGTTCAATTTGAGTTTCTCCAGACAAGTGTAATTGTTCGAATAACTCTAAATAAACTAATCAAATCAATTTAATTTATTCGTATCGAAAAAGAAAGTAAGGTAGTAGTGTAACAGAGTCCCATCAATTTGATTTACCGTCTGAAAGGATGATTTTTTGTTAAACAAAAAAAAAACTTAATACAATACGACGGTGGTACAAGGTTCATGACACGGAATTAGATTATGCCACCCCATCCAGAAGCAGTTGATCAATTGCCTCACATATTTTACCTGATGCAAACTTTCCTGTGTCTGTATTCCACTTAAAGCCGGAAAATGCTGATACAACATCCGTAGTTTACACTACAATTCCTATTCAATATCATTGAAGATAAAAATGCACGAGAAAGATTGTATAAACTACATACACACAAGCACACCGACAAAAGAATAGACTAAAAAAAAACAGAATCATGAGAAACGATATTCGGGTCTATTTTTATTACCTACCACTACAACACCAGAAGCAAGAAAGCCATCGTGAGAACTGAGAATCGGATGGTGATGTTTTTTTCTAAACAAAACAATAATTAATAAATAGTCACCCGCAGCAAAAAAAAAACTCAAAATAGGTACAGGTGAAACTCAGTTGTGTAAACAAGTAAACAGTAACAGCAAAGGAAAGAAAGAAATATCAAACATTATAACTTTATGGTTGAAAAAAGAAAACAAAATACAAGAGAGTAAAAAACAAACACATTTGAAACGAAAAGAAAAGAAATACAACAGAAAGCAGAGTTAAAAAATATATGAACTCTACCATTAAAACAGAAGGCAGCTGTGTGTTGTTTGAACGTTCTAAACTATCCGAACTGAGTCCAACATCGGAAGCAATGAAATGCTCCTTAAACCCTTAGAAAAATGCTCCTTTACTGCTTGAGCTTGATTGACCGCCCACGGTTGCTACTCTGTTATTGCCAGATCAGCTGTAATTACACAGAGAACCAATAGACGATGCTTGGGACTAGCAATCATCCTCAATGTGTAAAAACTGGTGATCTTAAATTGGGCAATACCAGCGCCGGCCGCGCCCGAACACAGGTCAAGAAAGGAATGGGAAGGATTGTGTTGACATGACACTCGCTTTGATGGAAGCCGAGAACACCTCTGCACTTCCACGAGGAATCACTGGGATGTTGGATAAGAGGGTTGGGTTTGCAGCAGGGTTCGTTTTGGTAAACGATAAGCTGATTTGATGTCCTAACGATCATATAACGCGAAGGAGCTTGGGACTAAACCCACGGTCTTCTGCTCAGTAAGCAAAAACGTTTGCCACTAGGCAGACGAGCACCCTTTTAATCACCGAGTTTCTGTTATTACCATGAAGTCATATTAACAAATAAAACGATTGACGAATCTTGAATGTGGATGGGCCTGAGATTAGACTCATGATGTTCTGCTTAGTAAGCAAAAACGGTTGCTCTAAGGCCACCGAGCCCCTCATATCACATAATACCGTTGCTCAAATTTTTGTATCCATTCAAACCCGGAATCAACGACAACAACGAGTTTCGCAAAATACACGATACACGAGCGATTTTACCATAAATCTCTTTGATATGTAAAAACCTGGAACCGCGTTTTTCTGCTCAGTAAGCAGGCCACTGTAACCGACGATCTTTCAAATCCGAAAACTAAAAACTACGAAAAAGTACTTAGGCCTTCATTAAGTTCCACTTTCACGCGACGTTCAATGTTTCAATTTGCTCTTTACGTATTCTATAGGCTATAAATAGGCCCTTTTCAAAAGTTACGCGAGAAATATGCACAATCGTCGCTTAACTCGCAAAACTGGTTCCAAACGACAACAAAGGCATAAGCACCTACTGAAACCTGGCCGTAGGCCTATTCTAGACCGTATAGCATAACGACCTTCTTCCACTAGCAGGCCTGTTTCTGTTTGCACAGACAGTCCCACTAGTTTCCGATACATTTATAGGGGATAGTAGGAGATTAAAAGAATGGAGAAGAGTTATAGAGGTTTTTTGTTGTTGTTTTGCTGAAAAAAGAGAAACAGAACTATACGAAATTACACCTGCTGAAAAAAAGATAAGTCTATTATTTTGGTTAGTGATCGTTTGGATTTGGGTCACCCCACGTTGTGTTTAGGTTAGTTTAAATAAATAATACTATATAGTCATATAAATCACCACAGCTCATTATCTTCAGCGTTATCGGTTTTTGTTTCTTTTTTTTTTAACTCTTTATTTGTTTCAAATTCAAAATAAATTACATTTCATTGTTATCCTAGGTGCTCCAGTTACTGCCGTAACGTACCAGCCTTAATTGTTATGATATATATCTAAGTGTTTTTACATTGTTCATGTCTTGGCAATTAAGTATTTTAAACAGGTTTTTTAACCTGCACGTCAGTATAACAATTGATATCTTAAAACTAAAAACTAAAACTAAATCTTATCTAAATATAAAGGGAATTAATCGTTGCAATTGAGGATTGCAACGATTTTTGCCTGAAATTATTCATTATTTTGTTGAACATTTGTTCTAAAGTCTCAACATTCGAAATTCTATGTACTTCGGTAGTACTGTACCAGGGAGGCAACTTCAAAATCATTTTCAGAACTTTGTTCTGAATCCTTTGAAGTGCTTTTTTCCTGGTAGTGCAACAACAAGACCATATTGGCACAGCGTAAAGCATGGCCGGTCTAAAAACTTGTTTAAATATTAGAAGTTTATTCGTCAGGCAAAGTTTGGATTTCCTGTTTATAAGAGGATACAAACATTTAATATATTTGTTACATTTAGCTTGAATGCCCTCAATGTGATCTTTAAAACTTAATTTTTGGTCAAGTATTAATCCAAGATATTTCACTTGGTTTGACCAGGAAATTGGAACTCCGTTCATAGTGACCATGTGACTACTACTAGGTTTCAAAAACGAAGCTCTAGGCTTATGTGGAAATATTATAAGTTGAGTTTTGAAAGCGTTGGGAGAAATCTTCCATTTGTGTAAATAAGAAGAGAAAATAACTAAACTTTTCTGCAGTCTGCTGCAAATAACACGAAGGCTTCTTCCTTTAGCGGAAATGCCTGTGTCATCAGCGAACAAAGATTTGTGGCAACCCTGAGGCAAATCAGGGAGGTCCGAAGTGAAAATGTTATACAATATAGGCCCAAGAATGCTACCCTGAGGAACTCCTGCACTAACAGGTAGTCGATTGGATTTGGAATTTTGAAAATTAACCTGCAGAGTTCTGTCAGTTAAATAATTCTGAACTAATTTCATAATATAAAGTGGAAAATTAAACTTTTTCAATTTAGCAATGAAATCTTCATGCCAAACACTGTCGAATGCTTTTTCTATGTCTAGAAGAGCAACTCCAGTTGAGTGGGCTTCAGATTTGTTTGAACGAATTAAATTGGTAACTCTTAAGAGTTGATGAGTAGTTGAATGCCCATGGCGAAATCCAAACTGCTCATCTGCAAAAATTGAGTTCGTATTGATGTGAAGCATCATACTATTTAAAATTATCTTTTCAAAAAGTTTACTTATTGAAGAAAGCAAAATTATTGGACGGTAGCTAGAAGCTTCAGCTGGATTTTTATCCGGCTTCAAAATTGGAACAACTTTTGCATTTTTCCATTTATCAGGAAAGTATGCCAAATGGAAACATCTGTTAAATAATTTTACCAAGAAAGACAAGGTACTCTCTGGGAGTTTTTTGATGAGGATATAGAAAATTCCATCATCACCTGGAGCTTTCATATTTTGAAACTTTTTAGTTATAGACCTTACTTCGTCCAAATCAGTCCCCCAGGAATCATCAAAAATATTTTCCCGAGAGAAAATATTCAAAAAATCCCGAGCAACCTGATTCTCAATAGGACTAGTAAGACCCAAACTGAAATTATGGGAACTCTCGAATTGCTTAGCAAGTTTCTGAGCTTTTTCCAAATTTGTGATCAAAATTTTACCACCTTCTTTAAGCGCTGGAATAGGCTTTTGAGGTTTTTTCAAAATTTTTGTGAGTTTCCAAAAGGGTTTGGAACTCGGGTCTAATTTAGAAATATTATTTTCAAAAGTTTTGTTCCTCAGGGCAGAGAATCGTTTTTTAATTTGTTTTTGCAAATCCCGCCAGATAATTTTCATGGCAGGATCGCGTGTTCTTTGATATTGTCTCCTACGGACATTTTTAAGACGGATCAAGAGCTGAAGATCGTCGTCTATTATAATTGAATCGAATTTAACCTCGCACTTTGGTACTGAGGCAGCTCTTGCTTCAACTATAGAAGTAGTCAGAGATTCAAGAGCATAATTAATTTCATCTTTGGTTTGCAAAGAAATGTTTGGATCGAAGTTATATTCCATAAATGTTCGATACTGCTCCCAATCCGCTCTATGGTAATTGAAAGTAGAGCTGTTGGGATTACAAATTATTTCTTGGGATATTTCAAAAGTTACTGGAAGGTGATCAGAACCGAAGTCAGCATGGGTAACCAGTTGGCTACAAAGTTGACATGAATCAGTTAAGACCAAATCAATAGTTGAGGGATTTCTTGCAGAAGAAAAGCATGTTGGGCTGTTTGGATATTGAATAGTGTAATAACCTGCAGAACAATTATCAAACCGAATATTACCATTGGAATTGCTTTGAGCATTATTCCATGAGCGGTGTTTTGCATTAAAATCACCAATAATGAAGAATTTAGACCTATGACGGGTAAGTTTCTGGAGGTCACCTTTGAGAAAATTCTTTTTCTGGCCTACGCATTGGAATGGCAAATAGGCAGCTATAAACGTAAGTTGTCCAAATTTTGTTTCAACAGAAACTCCCAAAGTTTCAAAAACTTTGGTTTCAAATGAAGAAAGAATTTTATGTTTGATTCGTCTATGAATAATGATGGCAACGCCACCACAGGGTCCATCAAGACGATCATTTCTATAAATCAAGTAATTTGCGTCCTTCTTAACCTTATGGTCAGGTTTAAGGAACGTTTCAGTTATAACGGCAATATGCACGTTATGAACTCTCAAAAAGTTAAATAGCTCGTCTTCATTATCTTTAAGAGATCGAGCATTCCAATTTACAATATTTAATGCTTTAAAATCCATTACTGAATTTTAAAGTCATGACAATATTATTTGCAAATTTTACTCCAGTTTGAATAGCATCAAACATGGAGTTAGATTTAAGCATATCAGAAATCATGTCAATTAATGATTTCTGTAAAAATTCCATTTTAGGGGCAGTAATGCTAAGTCAAAATTGTTAAAATTTCCGTTAGAATTACTTTGGTTAGTATTTTGATTTCTACCCGCTGCAATAGCAGCATAGGTAGCTTCATTAACTCGCTGAACATTGTTAGCAGCGAGGGGAGTAGGTACAAAAATTTGAAGCAGGGGTGATATTTGTACCTACGGGTACGAATGTAGAATTTGTTCCTCGCTGACCGTTGTTAACAGCAGAGTAATTTGTACCTGGTCGGAAACGTAGAGCGTTTCCTACCTGACGCTTAGAACGAGATTGTAGGATCGCTTTGCGAGTCTTACATTCCTAAAAATTGGATTTGTGGTTTTCACCACAATGTGAACATTTAAATTTCATAGGATCTTCCTTCACAGGACAGTCGTCCTTTGCGTGAGAGCAGGGTTGCTTCCACTCACTTGCTATAAAAAATCGTTTTTCGAAATTATGAAATCATTGGATGATATAATTATATGTTGTGCTTGCAAGTAACGAGAAGAGGGTGTAAAGTGTGTGTTTTACTCATAAAACCTGTCAATTCCGCTTTTAGAGCGTCACAATCAGCG